CTCCCCTTCCCATCCCTTCCTTATCCCCCGAAGTCGAAAATTTGCCCACCGATCTGGATGTCTCGATCGTGGCCACCGATAACAGATCTCGTTCGATCGAAACGAGGAAACGAGGTTGCGCGTCGCGATCGCGCGATGCATCGCTGAGAAACTTTGAGAGTCTCGATCTCGATCGAGGGTATCGCGCGTCTCTGGGACGATAAGATGTAAGGGTGAATCGAAGGGGGAAAAGACGAGACGAAGAAGACGAAGAAATGACGCGGTACGATAGGAGGCTGTTGCTAATCTCGATCCTCGTGATAGCGTACGTGGTGTTGGCGTCCGAGGCCAAGCATCGTCCCCACGAGGACACCGCGTACGACGCCAGGCACAGGCACAGGCACAGGCACGAACAATCCTCCACCTCCTCCTCCCCCTCCTCGAGCGGGAGGAGGAATCGCCATGACCTCGTGGACAGGCGATCGTCGTCCTGGTCGCAGGAGCTCGACTATTACGAGGACGAGTCGTTCCTCGATCGGGAGGATCATCGGAGGGGCGAGGGGGGGGAGGAGAGGAGGAAGAGGAAAAGGAAGGCGGAGGACGAGGGGGGGGAGGGGGAGGAGGGGGGGGGGGAGGATGATTACGAGGCTCGCTCCTATCACGAGAGATCCTATCCTCGGATCTCGAGGATCCACGGCCGGCTGTTGGAACCGCCGCGTTACCCGCCCAGGTATCGCCGAGGCGGTTATCGCGAGGCGGCCGGCTGGTACCACGAGGAGAACGAGAGGCACAGAGGTTCGGCCCCTCGGTACGGGGATCGTGCCTACTCGAGGCCGAGATTCGAAGACAGAGCTCGACGAAAGTTGTTCGGCTACTCGAGGAATCGCGGCGAGTCGGACTATTACGAGGACGAGCTCGATTACGACTCGAGCAAACCGAGCCGCGACTACAACGAGGACATCCTCGAGAAGCATCGATCCTGGCGGAAAAACGTGGTGGGCAGGAAGCATAGGAAGCTCGGCGTCTCGAGCCACGGCTGGCGTTCCCACGACGGTCGAAGAAAGAGATACCGTCATCTCGAGGACGGTGTGTCGAGGAGGCACGACGACTCGATTCGAAGGAGATTCAATTCCACTGGCCGTTACTCGAAAACCGATGGAAAGAGAATCGGTTATTTCGGAGACTACGAGTATCGTAGCGTAGACGAGGTCGACGACGTCGACGACGATCAGGAAGAGCAGCAACAGGAGGAGGAGGAGGAGGAGGAGGAGGAGGTGGAAGAGGAGGAGGAGGACGAGGAGGACGATGGCTGGAAGGAGGACGAGGGATACGTGGACGGGAACGATAACAACGAGGATCGAAACGCGAACGAAGAGGAGGACGACGAGGAGGAGGAGCTCGACAATGACTTTTACAAGAGCGAGAAGAAGAAGAAGAGGAAGAAATCAACGTTGAAAACTTACGACGAGATCATCCGAAAGTTAACGTCCGACGACCCAACCACTCCGAGATCCGCGATCAAGAGGGATTACAGGAACATCCAGATGGACAAATACGCGAGACGCGACGGATCGTTGGCCAATTTCCGATACGAGGCCAAGAATCTGACCAGGCCGTTGTTTCCTCGAGTATACGGGAAAAACTCGTCCGGTTATTACCACCACGCGACGAACGAAAATTTACCCGGCTATCTGTCGACCGGTTCGCTGATGGAGCGTAAACCGACAAAGAGCGGCGGCGGCGGTGGCGCGGTGGAGAACAATGCCAGGTCGTCGAAGATGGACGATACTCAACCGAAGACCAAGAGTCTGGAACAGGATTACGACGAGTACCTGAACACGTCGGACAACGAGAAGGAAGAGGAAGACGCGACTAAGACCGGGGGAGTCGAGGAGGACACGGGCACGCAAGCGGATGTCGCTAATACGGTTAGTCGTCTTCCTTCTTTTTAACGTTTACACACGTACGAATACGTAATACGTCGTATATCGCGCGTTCCGGATTATCGGGGATTGTTGGTCGATGATAAATGTTGGACGGGCGAGGAAAGATAGGAGAGAACGGATTATTACGGACATGTTTCGATAATATCCGTTTCGATCGGAATCATCCTCGAATTCCTGTTTGCCGACGAGAGATTAAAGATGGTTGAGAATCGTTCGCGAAAGCTCTCCAAGAGTTGTCCGATTCTCAGAATTATTTCATTGCGCTTTCCTGTGGCAGCAGCTGCCTATTAAGCCCCAACTGCTATCGACGAGACGAAACATCCCTTGCTACCTACTGCAAGGGGATTAGACCGACCTTGGCAATGTAGGCAACGACCGACCGCAAACCGCTTTTATTCGAGTTAATATTCTCGACCTGACATCCACAGGTACGAGAGACCTCGAGATAGCTTGGCTGAGAAATCGACACCGCGCGAGGTCGGTCAACGATACCGCGATTCTCCCTTCATGTCGAACCGAGACTACGCGCGCATCGTGATCAACCTCGAGAATACTTTCCTTTATC